GTAGCCTATGTATTATTTTGATGACAAAATGTGTCACAGCGCACAATGCATATCCTAGGGCTCCAGAGTCAGACTGCGACTAAAACCAAAAATATTAATTTGCGAGTGAAGTTTTTGCTGAGGTCGCCATGGCGACTATATTTACATGTTATTACTTAAAAATTAGCATGTAATGCCTTTTTTCCTGATTGTTTTGCGATCACATCTTTTGTTATGTTCACGTATTAAACTGACGATGTGTGCGCATCAAAGTTTTAGTGGAAAAAATCGTTTCAAACAGTCCTCATCTCTGACGCACACCTGCTAAACGCAGCTCAGTTGTGCAGCGCGAGAGCGATCGAAACGACGGAGACGTGCGAAGTGAAAGTGCAGAAAACAGCGTCTATTTCGTGCACAACTTGAACAAACTACAACAGGTAAAGCTGTCAGCTGTGTGGATATTGGCAATATCGTTAACAATTCTCGTTTATAATCATTAATATGGCTTCTTCTTAACAAGATCTTATCTATGCTGTGTTCTGTTAATGCGTGAACTTCATATTATTTGAAGCGCACTTGCCGTCTAGTAATCGCAGAAAGCTTTGTGCTTTGTTACTTTTTAATAAAAAAAGTATCAGCTTTAAAATGATTCCAAATTCATAACGAAATTCAAACAATAAATACAGTTTTGTTTTTTTGGCGCTCTTTAATGCAGCTGGCGCGTTCGCTTTATCGCCTCAGTTCAAGCGGCAAGTGAACCCATTTAATTTTTCTCTTTACTACTATAGTACATAATAAACACGAATTAATACCAGAAGGTAGGCTATTTTATAAGAGAGCCTACAGTACAACTTACTGAAATGTCTCACGTAAAAGCTCATTCAGTGTTTCAAACTGCGGAAAACGTGTAGGCTAAAGCTTGTAAACATTGCAACGTAATAATACATTTACCTCAGAATAACCATTCGGTGTCCATAAGCTCATCAGTCAGCTAGAAAAAATAACTATAAAGAGGAGCATTTTGCTATATTTATGCGCTATTGCATATTCATATTTTTTTACTTGACCTGTTGTCTACATGATTCAACTCCTATAAAATTGCATTTTACTAATTAAGAAAAACAGACTGAATGAATGTGTGAAAGACGTACACTCTTAAAAATAAAGGTGCTTAAAAGGTTCTTTACAGAACCATTTTTGGTTCCACAAAGAACCATTCAGTCAAAGGTTCTTTAAAGAACAATTTCTTTCTCAACTTTTTATAATCTGAAGAACCTTCTTTCGCCACAAAGAACCTTTTGTGAAGCGTAAAGGTTCTTCAGATGTTAAAGGTTCTTTATGAAACCATTTAGACAAAAAATGTTCTTCTATGGCATGTGAAGCACCTTTATTTTTAAGAGTGTATGACAACAATTACAGGATGCATTGAGCAGGAGCCCAAACTACAAACTACGCTCAGTGGCCAAGTGATGCTTATGGTCCACGATATTGGTACATATTCTGTGTAATGAACAATTCTTTGTGACTGTATATTTTAATAGTTGGAAAAGACATTTAGTTCCTACTTTAAGTGAACTTTAGATTACAGGATGCATTGAGCAGGAGCCCAAACTACAAACTACGCTCAGTGGCCAAGTGATGCTTATGGTCCACGATATTGGTACATATTCTGTGTAATGAACAATTCTTTGTGACTGTATATTTCAATAGTTGGAAAAGACATTTAGTTCCTACTTTAAGTGAACTTTAGTTCCCAGGTCATCTACAAGATGGATTAAAATGTTGATAAAGTCAAGAAAAGATGAGACATAAACACATGACAGTATGATTGAAATGTTAAAATGTAAAAAATAAAAATAATAAAATAAATAAAACATGTTTATTCTGTGGCACCTAAAAAAATTATTTGGCGCCTAAGTTTTTTTCTTATAGGAGCCAATGGCTCCTTACTCTATTTTTTTTTTCTGGAACCCTGCCTTGTGTACACGTAAAAGCCCAAGTATAATTTGGGCCTAAGCAGATTGTATAAAAACATACAAATGAGACTGTACAAATTCATACAAATTAGCCAACTATTTGTCAGAAAAGTAAAATAGTTATGAATTGCCATTAGAGTGTGTTGTCTGATGGCACATTCCGATGGATGCGAATTCAGCGAAGGGAACATTCTAGCATAAACTAAGACTGGTAGTAATAAATCACACTCATAACCTGTCACCCCGTGTTTATAGTTACTCTCAGGATGATATGGGCCGTTCCTCAGCTCTCTATATCATTTTAATGATCATCTATGCGATCGAAAATGCTGCCATCCAAGAAAGTATAAATGCATTCCTGTGCCTGATGGCCCTCGGGCCTCGACGCTCTGGGCTACATTTCTAATTAAACCAGCACAATAAAACACTGTAAGGTGTCCACACTGTAAGTGTCTGCAGAGTTAGAATATCCATAGATGGCGTTTTTAACAGTTCTGCGGGGAACTCTTACTGAACAGCAGAAACCTTGATTGAAAGTTTGTGGAAATCTGTGATGTGAACCCATTATGGCACACTGACTGTACAATGACTCACATACACATGCGGGAGCAAGCTGTCTCAGGGGATGTACGACACAACCATACAGGCAGAGAAGTGATGAAACATCTCACCAGAGTTTAGCAGAGATGATGACTGCAGAGAGAATCAGCAGAGATGAAATTGTCACCGTCACATAAAACTGTGGGTCCACTGAAAAAAAGAAATAGCACAGGAGAAGAATAAATTAGACACAGTGAGGGGACACTTTGAACAGACGTTTGAATTAAACCCATGTGAGACTTTACATTGTAATGATAGGAAGAGAATATGCTGAATTGCAATTAAAATACATATACATAATACAATGTTTACATGTGGTCCCACACAATCTGGAATATTTAGTTATATCCTTAACAAGAAATAATACAATTAAAAAACATTCCTCAAACAGTAGAGCATTGTAACCCCAAGGTCATGGGTTCAATTTCCAGGCAGTGCATGAACCAATATAACAAATATCTTGAATGCAATGCAAGTTGCTTTTGATAAAAGTGCCTGCCAAATGCATAATTGTAAATTCTGTTTGCTGCCTCAATTCAAATACAAGAACTGAACTGAAATTTCAAAACTCATTCCCAGTTCACCTTTAAATGGTGCACAACCCTATAAAAAAAAAGCAATTAAAGGAAACATAAAGATGTCGAAAAAGTGTGAAGACTTTGAGCGAAAGCAACAAGGAACCAAGAGCAAGAGAAAATGTGGGGGGGAAAGGGTGGGAAGAGTGTCACAATCAGGTAAAATTGTATTGATTGGATTGATGCCTGCCTCCTGCTCAATGGGAGAGAAATCTAAGCTCTCCTCAAGTGCAGATTTTCTACTATGAGGAACCAGCATGAGCCCAGTGCCCTGTCGGCAATGCAGCTCTCAGATAAAGAACTCATTTCACGGAGACCAACCTTCCTTGGTGTCCTGCTCTTCTGTCTCTATTTTGTCCCTCTCTCCCGTAGTTGGGCGTTGCGTTTGATTGGCGGGCATGCTCCGACGATGCGACCAGTCCTCGGGTGTAGTCACCCTCAAATTCTCAGTCTCCAGGCTGGACAGGAAGTGATGGGTTTCGTCCTCCAGGGGCTGCGTGGGACCCCAGTCCACCGCCCAGAGCTGTGTGGTGCTGGCCTGTGCCGTGACTGGCATCTGCATTTCGCCCAACTCCTCCCACTTCCTGTCATCTGTGTCACCGGTGGCAGTGCAAAAAATTACAGTGACCAGCTGGAAGCTCCAAAGGGGAATGAATCCAATGTGGGGAGAAATGGAGCTGGGGGGAAGGAGAGACAAAGCAACGAAAAGACGGAAGGAGGGATTGAAAAGGAAAAGCTAGAGATCGAAAAAACACATAACTGAGAAGCATGAATCGAGCACAGATGGAAAGAGACTTAAAGCAGAAGCTGATGCAACCCAACGGGCTGCAGGAAACTAACTGGTCAGATTTGAGAGTACAGTGCAACCAAAACAGTCTGTTCGGCACTCTCACTTTGCCTTACCATCGCTCCATCGCTTCAGCCTGTTCACTGACTCCTTGCCGCTCCGATCATCTCTTAAATGAGAATGACATAAAGAGAAGGATGAGAAGAGAAACAGAGCTGGAAGGGGGAGGGTTCAGTCTTGACACTGACTAAAAGACCATAAACAGATGGTTGTAGTGGAGAAATACCCTGCTGGCTCTGAGACAACACAAATAAAAACACACACATATGCATACACACTCATCCAGATCAAAAAGGATCACACTCATCAAACCACAAGATCCACAGAAAATCACACATGCAAACACACCTGTGGATGCTTTCCGTGCGTTAAGCCTCTTCCCGAGCCGTCAAACAAAACTCAACATCTGTATCCAGATTTAGGGCACACTGACTTCCAGGCAACACTCACAAATGCACCTACACACACTTGGAAACATGCAGATTCGAACTCTCAAGACGGATATCAGCTCACATGCCTACCTCATGCCACTGAAGAAGGGAGTGGGAGAGAGACAGAGCGCCTGGAAGTGGGGAAAAGCATTGGTTGCCGTAGCGACGGAGACATGTAGAAACTGTGCGAGTGAGAATAGAGTGCGGAAGAGGGAGGTAGAGAGAGAGAAAGAAAGAGAGAGCCAGGGGAGGGAGGGAGGAAAAGAGGATTGGAGGAAATATTGAAATTCTAATTATGCATCTTAACTGGTTCCAATTAAATAGGAAGCAAGAAGAAAATAAATGAATTTTGAAGGCGAAAATAGCCAGATGGAATAAAAGAAGCAGCTTATTAATATTCTGAAGACCAGTTTAAGTAAATAAAAAGTATTCAAGAAGGACAAATGAAAAGAGGCAGCAGCAGGAGAATCAATATACATTAATGTAGTGTTGGACAAGAGCCCTACATGATGAACAACGCTACAGATATTTATAGACAGAAGTGCCAGTGATGATAAATAATCTCACAAGTACACAGACATAACATGGTAGGTTTTATTGGATCAACGTTTACACAGAAAACAGTCTGTTGTTTCTCTCCTACTTCTGTTTCTTCCCTTCTGCCAGTCAGTCAATCTGTTCCACTTCAGTCCCTTCAGCTGATTTTTTGCACTCCATCGTCGCCCCTTGACCTTCACTTTCTCTTCATTTCCAGTTTGTTCTTTTTAGCCCTCCTTCAATCTCCTTCCCCTCACTCTCATTTTTCATTTACCCCTCCTCTCGCTCACTGAAGAACACAACGCAGCCATGAAGAACTTGGGGTTTCCTCTGTTTCAGATGCATCCTGGGGTATGGAGTCTTCATCATCGTCCACTGGAGGGAAAAAATATATTTTCGTTAAGGCCATCAAAGTGAATTAAATGTTTTATAGCATTGCTTTTTAAATGCTGTTAACTCATTTATTCAAAAACATTGCTGGTGGGCGCAGCTTGTCCTCCTCCTCCAGTGAGAGCTCTCCGGCCGCTGCCACAACGCCAGGGCCCAAACCCTCCATCTGCTGTAGGTGAACCAAAAATAACTGATAGCAGCTCTCAGTGATATGTGTCGGGTCCCCGCTATAATAGCAGCAACATTCACAAATGTTTACAGAACAAGTGGGAACCCAGTGTGCCTGTAGTTTTCTCTATTTCTGTTTTATCACGTGATAGAAAGTCTAAGGCCTTCTCAAGCCGTACGGCTGACTCATCTAATCTGCGGCCTGTTATGCATCAAACTAATATTGCTGTTGAGACAAAATGCAATGCCATCAAGTTAGCATTTTTAAAAATTCGCTCACTAAAATATAAATCATTTCTAATCAATGACTTAATAACCACAAACAACCTGGATTTTATGTTTCTAAA